GGTGTGGGAAATATGGCTAGGGAAAGCATTCTGTCTCTGACTGTACCTGGAAAGGGTTGTGATCTCCACATGTTTAGTGTAGATGCCTTGGGAGAAGGCTGTGGACCTTTGGGAAGGATTCAGGGCTGGAGTTACCTCTAAATAGTTGGCATAACAATATGAGCTTTTTTTTTTCTCTTGTTTTTCAGCTATGCAAATTAAATTAGTGAGCAGACCTGGCTCCTGGCTTGTCCATTAAGCGGAGAGCTGAGTCTCATAAACAGTGTAGGAGCGCCCTCTTGCGGAATGTTGTTAAATCGCAGACTGTTCAAAAGTGGTTTTCCAGAATTTTAAGTTTCTAAAACTACAGTGCTGTGTAACTCACTGAAAAGGTGAAGTTAACTCTTATCCACTGCAGTACTGCAATCATACATTGTTAGGCGGTAGTTTATACTTGCTTCTGATAATCTTAAGGTCTTTTTGAATGAAACACTTCTGATACCAAAAATGTTGCTCCACCTAATTCCTTAAACTATGGTCAAATATTTGTCCATGCCTTCATCTGAGTGGCAATTTGGAAACCCGTGAACTGTTTGAGTCACAGCACCTGTTACTTCATTCTCTCTGGATTAGTGTTGTTTGGGAGCTGTCTCATAAGGTGACACTCTTTCATCAAGTACAGTAACTATAGCACAGAAAATTGATGTTGAATGACTCCCCCCCCCCCGTCACATATTCCTGCGATGTTGTAAGTCCTTGTAAATGATTGGTCCATCTTCATCTATTCCAGGAAAGGTTCCCCAGTTCTTTCTGTCCAATAAGAGTGTTTCTATTTCTCCCCAGTAAAAACAACAACAAAAAATTTTAAATGATTGAATGATCATATTGCTTGTCTTCAGTCAGGGTTGGAAAAACATTTTAAAGTATTTATTTTTACTGGGGTGAGGCGGAGAGGAAGGGAGAGAGAGAGAAATGAGATCACACTCCTGTTTACCTGTTTACATCCCGAACATCTGCAGAAACTGGGTCTCCCACACGTAACTGCTGTCTCCCAGCGTACTTACTGACGGGGAGCAGGGCTGGTCAGCAGTGGAGGTGATCCCGCCACACAGGTGTGTGTGTTGTTTGTATTAGATTAGGTAAAAAGGCTGAGCAGCTGGGCTTCCCCTGCAGAGTGTAGAATGGGTTGCAGCTGAGCTGCCGACCCCCTCCAGCCTTGGGAAGCGGCCCTAAGCGGCAGGTGCTGTGCTGCGGAGGGCTCGCAGGGAGCTGGCACTCCATTAGAGCAGCTGAGATCAAGCCCCACACCCCGTGGGCCCTTAGTACAGGCGCCTGTGTGCTTCCACTGAAAACTGTTGTATGTATGAAGAACAAGGAAATGTGGCAGTTCTACACCGTCATCAAGGAAATCGAATACACCGGAACAGTTGGTGCTCACGGGAAACAATCCTATAGGAAAATACTTCATTTCATTTTTTTTTTTTTTGAAGAAGTAAAGTTACGGGAAGTGAGTGAGCCAATGACTTTGACTGCGACTTTAGTTTCATTGTGTCAAATGTTGCTGCACTGTCAGCCGGGCCGTATATTCGAGTAACGTTGTGATAAGGCAAATCAACGATATCAGAACGTGGGTGTTTGCACTGTGTATAACTTGTGGAACAGGCAGGTTGGCACAGAGGTGCCGAAGGTAAACTTGCGTATCACAACCTTGTTTGTAATAAGATCAGTAAACAGGGATCTAGATAAATGTATAATCAGATTATTATTAATAATACATACGGCATGATTCATTATAAATATCTGTGGTGGACTAGACTCACGAGCCAGAGGACGTTTCTACTGTGTACATGGTAACAGTGCCGAGAAAGCAACTCAAGTAGAGCTTGATGTGCTGGTATTCAATATGCTAGTGACATAACAGTGAAAGCCAGAAGACTGCTGAATAGAAGGATGGTGTTCTAATACGGCCATTCTTGTGTTAAAAAAAAAATTGAAAAGGAATGTTGAACATATAAATGAGTGATTAATTAACTGAAAATGTAGAAGCAACTTCAAACAAAGGTGGTTTTCATCAAAGTGACCTACGGGGCCGGGCGTAAAGTGAAGGCAGTAGGGGAGATGGCTTCCCTCCACCCTGCCTTGCTTTTCTTCAGTGCTGCTTGAAATGTTCAAACCTCAAGGATTTCTTTTTCTCAAAGCAAAAGTAAACCTCAAAACCCCACAGAATACACCCGTAAGTAAAATCCCTTCCAGATTAGCACAAAAGATAGATGCTCGTTATTCAAAAAACGGATGTTATTTTAAAAAGAACTAAGAAAATATAGTAAATCATGAAATACATGTTGGTAAATCTTAAGATGTTGTTGTTCAATCCGCTGCTTTAAGAACGTGCGTCTTGGGGGCCGGGATTGTGGCTCCAGGAAGCTGCAGCCCGGAGCCCTGGCTTCCCACGTGGGTGGGAAAGTGGTCGCTCCCCTTTCCATCCAGCTCCCTGAGAATGTACCTGGAAAATGGTGCAAAATGGCCCAAAGACTTCAACCCCTGCCCTCCATGTGGGAGACCTGGATGTGGTTCCAGTTTCTGGCTTTCGCCTGAGCCAGCTGCAGCTGTCACGACCCATTGGAAGCAAGTGGACACTGAGTGGCCAGCACTGGGCCATGGTGGGTTAGCTCGCTGCCTGGGATGCTGGCATCCCCTATGAGTGTCTGCTTGAGTCCTGGCAGCTCCGCTTGAGTCCGCTTGCCTCCCGGTGCAGCTCTCTGCTACCACACCTGGGAAAGCAGCAGATGTGGGAGAACAGAATGGAGTCCCTGACTCTTGCCTGTGGTCTGGCTCAGCTCCAGCTGTTGAAAGAATTTGAGAGGTGATGCAGCAGGTGGAAGATCTCTCACTGTTTCTCCGTCTCTATGTCACTCTGCCTTTAGAATATATGTCTTTAATATATATATGTGTGTATGTCTTTAATATATATATATATGTGTGTGTGTGTGTGTGTGTGTGTGTGTGTATGATTACGGACACCAGGGTTTTCACACCCATTGCCTGCCCAGCCTGGAAAGTGACATCAGTGCAGTGGTTCGAGGTGAGTTACTAGCACCAATTATCTTTCGAGAGAGAGAGAGGAAGATCTTCCGTCCGATGCTTCACTGCCCAAGTGACTGCATTGGCTGGTACTGTGCCAATCCAAAGCCAGAAGCCAGGAGCTCTTCTGGGTCTCCCATGCGGTTGCAGGGTCCCAAGGTTTTGGGCCATCCTCTTCTGCTTTCCTAGACCATAAGCAGAGAGTTGAGTGGGAAGCGGGGCTGCCGGGATTAGAACTGGCGACCATATGGGATCCCAGAGCATGGGAATTCAGGATTTAGTCATTGAGCCATCTCACTGTTCTCTCATCAATCTTTAATTAAGTGAATGTAGGAATCTCCGACGTTGGAGAGAGGGCTTCAAAATATCAATGTGAGCATTAATTTCCCTCCCACTTTGATGAGCATGAAAGAAATTTCTTCATTTTTTAGCTAATGTAAAAAGAGAGAGAGAGAGAGAGAGAGAGGAGAGAATCTCAGCATTTGTGCTTAGGGGCGTTTCCTTATCTGAAGAAATAGACTTGACTTGATATCAAGGTAATAAAAATAGGGTTAGCTGAGGCCATGGTTAAAATGCAGATTTCTCAGTACTGCATCAGGCTCTAAGGGAAGGGGTGGTAGTTTTGCTTTGTTTTTAGATCTTATTTTACTTGTTTGTAAGACATAGTTACAGAAAGCAAGGAGGACGGACAGGTAGGTCTGCCTGCTGGTTGACTGCCCACATTGCCGCAATGGCCGGGGCTCGTCCAGTGAAAAGCCCAGAGCTTGTACTGCATCCAGATTTCCCACATGGCTGCCAGGAGCCTGGGGCCCTGGGCTGTCGTCCGCTGCCTTTCCATGTGGGTTAGCAGGGAGCTGATTCGGAAGTGGAGCTCTGATATGGAATGCCAGCTTTGTGGGTGGTGACTTAATTAACCTGCTCCAGGAGAATAGAATTTTTAACAAGAATATTAGTCCGTTAATACTCAACAGATGGATTTGAGAAACAGGGAAATGCTATAATATTGGGTTTTTATTTTCATTGTGATTCTAAAAACAATTTTGATCAAATCTTAGATATTCAAAAGAATATCTTACAGCTTATAAGCATTTTATTGGATGAAATTTTATAAAATAGTTTGAGCTATATATGTTAGCTATTACTACAGCCTTGCTGCTTTGTAATAATTATGTAGGATTACTATTTTGGCCCAAATAGTCTACATCTTAAGCACTGTTTTCTAATTTGCTTGAAGTATAGATTGGTAAATTGAGTATGGTTATGATTTGGAAAAAATAAAGGTTTTTTTTTCCCCCCTAATCTGAAAGCTTTCCTTTTGTTAGCCCCAGCTTCACTTGTATTTATCAGTTTATTTGAGTTTATTTAGAGTTTAACGGTATTGTTTCTTGATTTTGTCCTGTACTTTCTGAATTTTGGCATGGTGATAGGTCATACATTTTCTCCAACAGTGTTACAGGTTTTTTTTTTTTTTTTAAGATTTATTTATTTATTTATTTAAATTGGAAAGTAAGAGAGGAGCAGACACAAAGATCTTCTGTCCAATGATTCACTCCCCAGCTGACGGCAACGGCCAGTGCTGAGCTGAGCCGAAGCCAGGAGCCTGCTTCGTGGTCTCCCATGCGGGTGCAGGGTCCCAAGGCTTTGGACCATCCTCCACTACTTTTCCAGGCCTCAAGCAGGGAGCTGGATGGGAAGTGGGTCTGCCGAGATTAGAACTGGTGCCCATATGGGATCCCGGTGTGTGCAAGGCGAGGACTTTAATCGCTAGGATACCTCGGCAGGCCCGTTGTGTTACAGTTTTAAAAGTAGTTTAAAGACAGTCAAATTAAAGTTCTTGGAAGAAATAAAGAAAGTTATGTTCGGCGAGTTTAATTTGTCAAATTAATGTATAAATTATTACATTTCTGTATACTCACAAACATTTTTTTTTCTCCTCAAAGACACTTGTTTAACAGCACGGAACAGCACCAGCTGTACCTCCTCAGCGTCCTCGCTCTCTAACTATCTGTATGTCTTCATCCTGGGACAATTGTTGCTGGGCATGGGCGGCACCCCTCTCTACACCCTGGGGACAGCCTTCATCGATGACTCAGCGCCCACGCACACGGCTTCTCTCTACATCGGTGAGCTATTCCCATTCATGGCTGTCTCAGTAGGATTTTCTTACATAATACGTTTATGATGTAAGTCGAGGATAACACAGACTTCTATAAAACGTCAGTTGTAATTGCATAGATGGTTGTGTGAAATCCATGCCGGATGACTTACTTGTTGGGTTCCTGGCTGCTGTACCCAGCCGGTCAATGAATGCGTGCTGTTTTGCTTGTTGGCTTGCTTTGGGCATGAGCTCCACTGTTTGGTGCGATATTACTCCTACATAACTAACATCCACAAAAGAAACCACGAGAAAGTGCTCAGAAATTCCATGGGATTTTCCATTTCAAATCAAACTTTTGTGTGCGCGCACACACACAAGCCCAAACATATGTTTGTAAAAGAATTACACTTTAATGCTCTTCCTTCTGTGAGCACAGGTGTCTTTTAAATTTCTTCCCTTGATGTTCCCACAAATACTCATCGAACTCTTAATGGTCCCATGTTCACTTACGGCATAATTTTAAAAAATCTATCATTTTGATTGATCTAAGGGGGAGGGAAAGAAAAAGGGAGGAAGAGTATTTTTAAAACCCTATGAAAAGTTCATTTTATTTCAAGCTTATGCATGGTTTCCAAAATGTGTTTTGCACCAATATAAACTTACTGTTTAGCTGTATTTTCCCATGGACTTTGTGAAGTGAAATACCTGCAGAAAGTAGCATTCCTTAACTTACGTGCCGATGATATAGTTGTAGAATAAGTTAAGGTAGTTGGCAAATCAAAGGAAGTTCTTACATATTTTCAGATCATCCTATGTGATCTTTGGAGATGTAGCTAGAATGGAGATCATTTCTGTCAGAGATACAGGTTAGGTTTGGGTATAAACTGAAGTTTCCTGTTCTTTGATGTATTGCTAGGAGAATGTCAGTGGTTAAAATGTTTGCATGGGGATTGCTCATTAAGACGCGAGTGAATGTATGGGTTTTTTTTTCAATTGTTCATCGCAAAGCTATTAAATTTCGGACATAAATGAGCTAAATGAGTAAAATCAGGGCTGGTTCCTGCACTCAGGAAGTCTAAGTCATGGCTTCTGCTGACATGGGAGACTTCTCCGCAGCTCCAGGTTTGAGATCAGCTTCCGTGTGTAGAAGGAGGAATGCTGAGCACAGGGGAGTGAAAAGCCTTCTCGTTTCACTTGCTTTTCTTCCAGGAGATTATAAACAAGAGTTGTGAGCCCTCTCAATAACGAATAAGAACAGATGGACTACCCCTTCCACCTGTTACCACAGCTTTCCGTACGTTTATGGCTGTGTGGCTTCTTGGAGTTGTCACTCCTCCCACTAGGTTTTGTATTGAGCTGTACGTGTTAGGATCCTCGATTGCTGTTGGTTGGAAGATACCATTGACACGGCCGTTTGTATAATTTTGATGTAAATGTGATTGTCCCTGTGGTGAAGTCTCTCTGTCTTCACTGTGATGAGCCATGCTGTGTGAGGATGCACGTGTGACTATTTCCAGTGTCTTTTTCTCCCAGGAATTGGCTATTCCATGTCGATCCTAGGCCCTGCCATAGGCTACGTGCTGGGAGGACAGCTGCTCACCCTGTACATTGATGCTGCGTTGGGACAAAGGCAAGGCAGGAGCTGGTTTTCATTTATTTGCATTCTGCTTCTTTTCACCCTGCTGGCGTCACAGCGACCCAGTGCTCCCCCAGGGCAGCCTGAGGACGTTTCAGAGAGCACCCATGAACCGATGCATGGTAGGGGTGTCCAGCTTGTTTCCTCACACATCCCCTGCCGCACCAGGTCTGCATGGGACGGTTGCTTTTAGAGGAAGGTGTTCAGTGGAATCATACGGTGAAATTAAAATGAAAAACAGATACCTAGGCCATGAAGTGGTTCAAAATGCCGAATTTAATACAAATTGTTTATGTTCTTAGTGGGTTTAGCCGATAGAGTCTGCAAGATCTGTCATCTCGGAAGTTTTGTAACAGCCCCAATAAATACACAGCGGTCACAGCTGGGCCACCCTCTTGTTAGGGACAAGGACAAGTGCTAGCAATTAACGTTCATTTGTCCTGTCCTGTGTTCTAGATGACGTATGATTTGCATGTTGACTTAGAGTATGTACCATTTTATTGAATGCTTCCGGTAATCCCGGGGGTAGTGAACACACGCAAGTTGTGAAGTGATCAAGACGTGAATTAGACAGACCACTTGGATTTAAAATCCCCCCTGTGTGCCACTGAGTTTCCTCTCCTTTTTCGGAACTGAGGAGTTAATGACCTTCACCAAGGCCATATTTTCTCACTTTATCGCCAGGAGTCGTAACTGCAGTGTGCTCTGTATGGCCGTGGTCAGTGAGTAAGAAAATGGGGGTCATGGGTTTGTGATTTGTTCTCTGAGCTGCTGGTCCTAAGTTAATCTTTTGGAAACGATAAAGGAGTGTGCAGAGCAGGGAGAGCCACTTTGTGAGAAAAGACACTTCCCCTTCAGTGGAGAGTTAGATGGATGGTAGGGAAGGGGCCTGCTGATATTAAAATATGAGACCTAATATAAACTAGTGCTAACAAATCATGCTGAGAATAATTTTAAATTTAAATAAATGGTAGAATGAAACATGCTGTGTGGACTTTTAATTGTGATTTGCAATGAGATTTTTAAATTTAGTATGGAAGCAGAGAAAAACTTAGCCAAAGTTGCATGAAGAATGTTTGGAAACTCTATGCTTTCAAATATTTGTCATATTTACTATTAAATATTTTAAATTTTAATGTCACATTTGCCATTTTAAAATGTTTTGTAGGGCCTGTCACGACAGCCTAGTGGCTGAAGTCCTTGTCTTGAATGCCCTGGGGTCACATATGGATGTTGGTCCTACTCCTGGCAGCCCCACTTCCCATCCAGCTCCCTGCTTGTAGTCTGGAAAAGCAGTTGAGGATGGCCCAAAACCTTGGAACCCTGCACCCACGCAAGAGACCTGGCTCCTGGCTTCGGATTGGCTCAGCTCCAGCCATTGTGGCCGCTTGGGGAGTGAACCATTGCATGAAAGATCTTCCTCTCTGTCTCTCTTCCTCTCTGAATATCTGCCTTTCTGATAAAAATAAGTAACTTAAAAAAAAAATGGTTTGTAAACCATTGCTTTTTTTTTTTTTTTTAAGATTTATTTATTTGAAAGTAGAGTAATAGACAAAAGAAGAGACAGAGGGAGATTTCTTCTACCTACTTCTTCACTTACCAAATGGCTACAACAGCCAGGTCTGTTCAGGAGCCAGGAGCATCATACAGGTCTCCCATGTGGGAGGCAGGGACCTGGGCATTCGGAACTATCTTCTGCTGCTTTTCCAGTCACCTAAGTAGGGAGCTGGATGGGAAATGGAGCAGCTGGAACTCGACTGGTTCTCATGAGGTAGTGGTGTTGCCAAGTGGCTGAAGTGGCTGTGCCACCATGCCGGCCCCTCAGCCACTAGTCTGTTGATCAGAGCTCCATGACGGTAACATTCTACCACGTGCATGTGTGCTCAAACCCCAGCCTTTAGCCGTAGCCGTGCCGGAGTGCTTTCCGTAAGGTGGTGTTGACCTTGATCTTGCTTCCCTGCTTGGCAGCATTGATGTCACCGAGGATGATCCGCGGTGGCTCGGGGCTTGGTGGATTGGATTCCTCATCTGCTGGTTCTTTGCCTGGTCTTTGATAATTCCCTTCTCGTGTTTCCCAAAACATCTGCCAGGTAAGTATGCATGCTTACTTTAAATTCGGAGTGTTATTCAAAGTCAGATGTTGTTTTCCATGATTAATAAAGACCACAGGGTCACTCTGTTTATGTGAGATAACCTGACTTGTCTGCCTATGAAAGCTTTCAAGTGTCTGTTCATTTTAGAAAAAAAAATAGAGTAGTGGTGTTAATATTTGTAGTTTTAATTATTAATATGTGCATTGATAATCAAGGACAGTTTCAATATTTACCTCCTTACTACTTGCTTGCTTCTTATTCTTTATATAGAATCTCGTTTTTTTGTGTAACAAGATACAATATCTTCAGCTACTGTTCTAAACTCAGGAAGCCACCAATTTCAGGGACACATTTGCCCAAGATAATTCATTGTAATGGAAAGTAAATGTACCGATTTTTAAAATTGTCACCTAAATTGTGGTGCTGTACAGTGCTTTATATTATCATCATCATCATCATCATCATCATACTGTATTTCAGTGCTGGATTGTCCCAAAAGAAAAGGTTCATAGGAAAGAATCCCCATTCTTCTTTCTCCGAGCTTATATTTTTGTGTCATTGTGTAACTGAAATACATTCTCTATAGACGCAGTCTTCTCTAGGTTGAAGATACTCAGTTTTTCTCATTAAAGTGGAGCTGTCAGTCTCTCTTTTTAAAAGATTTGACCATTTATTAGAAAGGCTGAGTGACACGAACAGAGAGAGGGAGAAAGAGATCTTTCATCCACTTGTTGCAACAGACCCAGCTGGATCAGGTTGAAGCCAGGAATTTGGAACTCCACCCAGTTCTCCCACATGAATGGCTTATGTCCAAACGCTTGTACCAACATTTACCGTCTTCCCAGACACGTTAGCAGGAAGCTGGATTGGATAAGAGTGAAATGATACAGCGGGTGCATTGGCTTTGTTTTTAGGTACAGCAAAAATCCAAGATGCCAAAGTTTCCCAGACTCATCAGACTAAGAGCAGCTCAACACAGTACACAGATGAGAATTTTGGAAAAAGTTTTAAAGATTTCCCAGCTGCCCTAAAGGTAAAAAGAAACTGTTGTCTTTAGTTGTCTCTCTCTCCTTGACATACATATACTCTCACATACATGTACAAACCCACATACGTGTGTATGTAGACACAAGCACTAGCCCATTATTCTAAGCCAACCCCCTGTGTGATGGATCCGTCAGTTACCATTGAATCCTAGATATACTCAGGAATGCCAGATTGGCATTCTTCTCTCATCAAAGCGATGGTGGTCGGTAGTAACCAGGTTTGAATTTAAGGTTAAAGGGAGCAATGTTTTATGGATCCCATGTGTTAGACCCAGCAGAAAAGCATTCTTGATTTTTAATACCATGAAAGTTCTATTCTTTAGGAAATTTATAACTTTATCTTTTAAAATTTTTTTAAAAAATCACTGTTGTTTTCTCTGGCTCCTTCTGAAATGAAAGCGTAGCATGCTGTTACTCCTTCATGCAGCTCACGTTTCACTCCCTCCCCTCCCCCTTGCACATGTACTTTCTGGTGCTATGCCGAGATTGTTCGTGGCATTTTAGCAAAACTACTATTATCTCCTTAGGGTCACTCAATGCCCTTTGTATATATTTCTGTTCATTTTGCAACCTCTAATTTCAACTGCCTTTTTTCACCGCTGCTACTTGCATCCCTGAGGTCTTGTGCCCTCTGACTCGGGCCGCTGGGGGTAGCATCTTGTTGCTGGCTTGCTCAGCTGTATCTTTGCTGTTTGTCTCTCACTGTCCGAAGGATGAGGACTTGGGGTGGGGGATGCTCTCCTTTAGGTGTCTGTGGCCACTGTGGTTTTTGGTGTTGAAGAGTTCCCTGCTAGTGTGGATCTGACTCTATTTCTAAGTTTGTGGACTTTTTTTGCTTTCTTTATCTGTAGTTTCAGAAATCCACCTTTTGTTGCCAGAGTGTCTTTTTTCATTAATTGTTCTTAGAAATCTGTTATCTTTTTTTCATTGAAGGTAACTATTTTCTACTGTTACTATTATTCTTATTTTAAGGTATTATCATGTCTCCATCCAGGTACTTTTTCTGCATTTGTCATCCTTGTTAATCTTAGGTTAGGTTATGTGGCTCTGACTCAGGAAATCTCTTAGCCTATCTCTTTGTGATTCGTGCGTGTGTGTTGTGTTGTGTTGCTCAGTTGTGTGAAGGTTTCTGGTGTCAGCGTTGAATATCTTTGAACTTGTTTTTCATTTTATGACTACATATGTTAAAAAAAAATAAGTGTCTGTATTCTTCCCTATAGTATATTATATTCTGAGAGATCCACAAATGTCTACAGCTCTTTAAACTTGAAACCTATCTGAGGTTCTTAAGTCCAGAGTCCTTTAATCCTGGGACAATACTGCGTGCTTGCTTCATAGAGACTGTTCTCATCCCTTGCCCCCAGTCTTGAACTCTTTGTGTCGTGGACATGGGATTTCAAAGCACAATAAAATATCAAACAGCCTGAAGATTCACAGTGACACTGAGGAAGGAAACCTTTCTGAGGGGATTTCGCTTCCTTCCCCTGGTCCCTTGTAAAGGCATGATCACTGTAATGATTAATCCTCTCACAGGTTTCCTACGTATCACATACACATGTTCTCACCATTGTATCAATGAATCTATTCATGATCCATTGTTCAATTCTTGGAAATGCTGGAACTTTACAGTTCATGATATTATGTTATTTCAGGATGTTGCCATTTCATCGTGCTAACGTTCTCATGCTGCACTTTGTAGTGGAATCATAATTATTCATTTGGTGAACTGTATTTTTTCTTTAGAATTTGATGAGGAATACTGTCTTTATGTGTTTAGTTCTATCAACTTCTTCAGAAGCCTTAGTTACCACTGGATTTGCCACATTTTTACCCAAATTTATTGAAAATCAATTTGGATTGACATCCAGCTTTGCTGCTACCCTTGGAGGTAAAACATTCTTCTTATTCTAACTTAATTAGATGATTTCATTTAGCCATACTAGATTCTTTTTTAGGATAATGTTAGATGATCTATTGTCCTGGCTGAGAGAAGAAAGACTGTTCCAGTTCATAAGGCTGTTCAGTCTGACAGTTCAATATTAAACTTAATTAATGCCTTAATTGAACCGCCAACTGGTGTATGCATCTCTTTCTGTATTGAGTGGCTAGCTTTGTATGTTTAAATTGTTCTAATGCCCATTTTTGCTGTTTCTTACTTGTTACCAGCCAATGATTAAATGTGGACATTTCCTTAGGTTCTCTGTCTTCTTTCTCTTTAGGTGCCATTTTAATTCCTGGAGCTGCTCTTGGTCAGATTTTAGGTGGGGTCATTGTCTCAAAATTCAAAATGACATGTAAGAATACAATGAAGTTTGCCTTGGCCACGTCTGGAGTGGCACTTGTGCTCAGTTTCGTGTTTGTTTATGCCAAATGTGAAAATCAGCCGTTTGCTGGTGTGTCTGAAACATATAATGGGTAAGTGTATTCAGTGCTTTTCGGTATTGATAACGAAATAATAGACAAGGCCTACATTTTCAAGTAGATATGCATTCCCAAATGGTGAGGAATTCACTTTTCATTTTTTAATTTTAAACCTTTTTTTTTTTGTAGTTTTATTAATAGCATCTCTGAGAGACCAAGCCCAGGTACATGACTCACAACTACATAGAGGCAAGCAGACTGACAGAGCTCCCATCTGCTGGTTCACTTCTCAAATGCCTGCAGTGCCTTGGGTTAGACTTGGGTTGAGGCTCGCACCTGGAAGTGCAGTCCAGGTCTCCTGCACAGGTGGCTGGAACCCAACTACATGCACCCAGGCCTGCTCTCAACCCCCAGAACCATTAGACAAATACGTGTCCTCTACATTTTCACTTGCTGCTCCACCTCTGTCTCCTCCTTTCGCAGTCACTCAGTCTCAGATAGCTTGCTGCAGGAACAGGAAACAAGACAATACCCTGTGTACGATCTCATGTTATGTGTTCCCACCAATTTATGTTTTTATAAATGGAGGTGACTCTCCATGATAACATGCGTTCAATGCACGAGCTGAAAACAGAGTAGAAGAGAAATGAAAATGAAGCCAGTCCTAGCTAATGCAAAAACATTGCTCCTGTACTGGAAGGTTTGTGCCTGTGGCAGAGAAATAAATAATTTCTTATTCTGGCCTGGAGACATGTTTCTGTCGGTAGCTGGTATGGTGTGGTAATTTTTCTTCCTTTGTCTCATTTGTTTTGCTTTGAAATTCTGAGCCATACAGGGGGCACCAGGAAGGAGGACAATTTCACAGTAGTGTGTTTTCTAGCTCACCATGCTGCATTAATTCTTTTTCTTGCATGCATTTGGAGTGGATGAGGGAAGCAGTCTAGGTCAAGGACTCCGTACTTCTGTATAATATGACACTCACGTGACACAGACAAAATGGACTTGTTTGCTTCAGTTTGCCAGTAACAATGATCTGCATTTGTAGCTGCGGTTCAAGTACCTGTCGTTGTCATAGATTTATGTAAAGCTGAGCATTCTATAGCAGTGTTTGCTTATGGTCCATTGCACCTGTTCAGTCTCTGTGGAATGCTTCTGCTGGCCAACCTTTGTGGCAAAGTCTCTAGTCTCAAGGAGTGAATCAGAAGTGCATTAGTGAACAGGGAGACATAAGAAGTAGTAGGAAATTCAAAAGGAAGTTTTTTTCTTTTTTTTTTTTTTTTGTCAGTATTAGTTGACAGACTGAAGAAAAGCTTCACAACATAATAGTACAATGGGTTTAAATTTCCTTTAGGGACACGAGGTTTTAAGGGTTCAAGATTTGAGAGGAGGTAAAAGAAGAGAGACTATGATAAGCCTAGGGTATCAGTGCTATAAAAAGTCAGGGCTCGGTTCAGGGGCCAGTTTGAGTAGAATTTGGGTTGTGTTTGCAAACAGGACAATTGTTAAAAAGTGCTCATAAGGGCTGCTATTGTCTCAGATGGCAGCATGATGCTGGTCCCTAACTCCTTGTTTTTAATAAGGCCCCTGAGAGCCAACCAGTCTGGTCCCGGACTTTCCAGCTGCAGTTTCCGTCCCTCTCCTCTGCAGACGGCAGTTTTCATGCAGCGTAATGGTTCTCATACTTGCACTTACTCCTGAAGTGCCTTCCCCTTTCCCAGTAGCTCGGCTCGCTCCACCCCCTGCTTAAGATTCAGGCAGCGATTGCTCCAGGACCTCGACTGTACACTTGGGCTACTGTTAGATGGCATTCCCAGAACCCCCAGAATGCACTTGGCACGTGTTGGCAGCCACACTCAGCACATGGGTGCCTGTTTGCAACCACTTCTGCTGCTCAACTGTGAAATCACTGAGCGCCCAGGCGGCTTTAGTTTGTTTCGTGTTGCTGCTGCTGAGCACTTGCCCAACATAAAGCACATGAATGAATGACTTAGGAATGAGTGAATGAGGGATTGGGAAAACCTTTTCTTTACAGCAACCCTCCATGATGCAAAGCAGCTTGCTTGCTGTTCAGAGGCAACTGAGGCTACACCGGATCTGGTGACCGGAGAAATCACACTTGGCCAAGCATAGCGAAGTTAGCCTCTCGAGGCTGCAGTTTTATGGTTTCATTGATCCTCTCAGGTTTAGAATGTTGCCTGCACCTCAAGCCCATGTGGCCATGTCTGGAGATGTTTTGGTTGCCATGGCTGCAGAGTCAGAGTGTGCTGCTGCTGCTGCTGCTGTGTGCTGTGTGTGTGTTGAGGAGGGGTTGCAGGTCTACAGAATACAAGCTCCTCCAACAAGAAATGATGGTGCATGTGCAAGACAGATAGGTGTTTTATTCCTTCAGTCACCGTGTGCTGTGTGAGTGAACACGTGGCCGACTCGCCAGCAGCAGTCTGGTACTGAGAGGGATGGTATCATCAGCTCAATCCTCCCTTCTTCCCCTGTATGCAGGACTGGAGAGCTGGGGAACTTGACCGCCCCTTGCAATGCCGACTGCAACTGTCTGCGATCATACTATTATCCTGTCTGTGGAGAGGATGGGGTCCAGTATTTCTCTCCCTGCTTTGCAGGTTGTGTGAACGCCATTTCAAAATCGAAATCAAAGGTAACGGGGTGTGCTACTTTAAAGAGGCATTGCGTTTGCTGCATTTAAAGAAATATGTATTCATTCTCACTCTGTTTGCAAAGCAGACAAAAACCAGGAAATTCTAGCTACTGATACACTCCCCAAATTGATTTTTTTTCCACTAAATGCTGAGATAACTTCCATTACACATAGCAAATTGTTTTCCATTTATTTTGACCCTCAATGATCTGACTTGTCATTTTATACCTAATTAGTTTATAAAAATGCACTGATTGTTCAGATGCTTATTTCTCATGGAATAGTTCCTATAAGCAAATGTATTTCTAATAACAAAATAAACACCTTTATACACCTGTGATAGCAGTGTTTGTCTTCCATTTCAAATTAGTGACCCAAACTGCAAAACCAGGCTTTGGAAGATAGATTAAGGGTCAATGCTTCTCCTTTATTTGGGAGTTGTTCAGTTTCACCAGGAGAGGAAATACTTTAATTGCTTTTCTGTTTTTAAAGATTGATTTTATTGATTTAAAACACAGAATTCCAGAGAAAAGGTTAGGAGAGACAGGGAAAAAAGGTCTCCATTTGTTGATTCACTCTCCCAAATTTCTGCGATGGCCAGGGCTTGACCAGGTGGAATCCAGGAGCCAGGTACTTCTTCAGGGTCTCCCACATGGGTGCAGGTGCCTATGCAGTGTTATTTGCATATTTAGATTTCCTGAGACAGGACTGTTTTCTAGAATTGGCACGTCAAAGGGATTCTGGACTTGGATCAATGAAAGAGCACCATTTCGCATTGACTTTGCCCACTTGTTCCAAATTGGTTGAGGTCTTACAAGTGTGAAACTTGTACCAGGATTAGAACTGAGATATTAAATATTGGAAGAAATAATTTTCTCTTAGAGACTAATGAACTTCTGTTTTTTATTATTTTAATTTGCATAATATTCAAAGATTTAATGCTTCATTTTAAAAAAAAAGCTTTCAAAAAATAAAAAGAAAAAAAACCATTATTTAGCAGGAAAGTAGGCGAGGACTTTAAACAGTTACAAATGGTAAGTGATGCAACTGTAATAAATTTAAAAATAGTCACAAAATCATTGAAACTCTAGCCGTTTGTAATATTTAAGAATCTGTCAAAGACTTAAAGTTTGAGAAAACTTTATTTTCAATAAAACAGATACAGGCATTTCTGTTTTCTTTCTTTTTTGTTTTTGCTTATGCATTTTTAACTCCCACATATAGAAGAAAGTGTGTTGATGCAAATGAGTCAATGACTTATTTCTCTTACTGAGAAAAATGCCTGTTGTTTTATCATGTTAATTTCATATCTTTCATTATTAAGATAATAATATATGTGTCTATTTGAATGAGAAATTGTTCATGCATAATTATTTGTAAAATAGCTCTTATTGAGACAGTAATCATTTTGTTACTGTCAGCACACTGTTTTAAAAGGATACAGTTTGCTTTCAGTAAAGCAGTTAAAACATGTTCATCAAATTGTAGTTATAGCATTTTTTTTCTTCCACAGTCTTAGGACGCATTAGCTATTTTTACTGTGCCAATGGCAGTGTGAGTTTTTCAAACTAGGGAAGATAATGATTGTCCCTATGGTTGCCAATTCCCTCCCAAAAAAGAAGGGGAAAAAAAAAAAGTTAGCAATGATACATTATATGAGCAGTTGTAATCTATTGAAGGTAGTCTAGAGTGTTGTAGCTATTAGGTTTCCATTTATCTGCTTCAAAAAGTCATGAGCCGGCAATAGATTGTACATTGAAGTAATGGCCAAATAAATCAAGCGTAGGCCATGGTGCTTCTTCTATCTGGCTTGTTTCCACTTGCTTCATTTTTTCTTTGGGGTTAGTGCTCAGAGTTCTTTGTTATCTAGGGGCCCAGGCAGCGCTATAGTGTTTGCTGTACCTACATACCACCCCGTGTGCAATAATGTAAGGATATTTTCAAAATAAACAGTAGGTATTTTATGTCTAATGCTTCCCAGGTATATCATAATTGCTCCTGTATCCAAAGGCAACCAGAAGTAACTTCAGATTCAGAAGGCCTTAGCTCTGAGGCAAAAGCTGGGAAGTGTCAAAGCCAGTGTGCAAACTTGACCGTATTCCTGGGTGTTTTCTTCATGACAATTGTCTTCACATTTATGGCTGGTACGCCGATAACTGTATCCATCCTGAGGTAGGTGTTTTGTAGTGATCCCATCCCTAAGGGACACACTGAGTGGAACGGGCTCCATTTGCACTTCCACTGACTGTGAGCTGGAAAGCTCGTTTGGTGCTTAGCAGATTTGATCTTGTGTCATTGGAGAGGCTGCCTGATGTGTAAGGGTTAAAGGAGATGATGTGTGTGGAGATTGTTTGCATTGCCCACTTGGCGAGTCCTTGGTGCTGTTTTGTCTGCCTCTTTCATCAAGCTTCCGTTGTGAGCTGGCGACAGGTTCATTGGTCCATGAGTATCATGGAACTGAAGTGCACTGCACCTGTACCAACATCAGGATGATGTGCATTCTGCTTCACTCGTTAGGGGCTGTGGTACCGATTGTTCCTAGGCGTGATGCTAATTGAAAAGAAACTGGCTGGCATCTGGCTGGTTACCAGCTTTCTGATTTCAGCTGTTTTTCCTTCTTACTGCTCTGCACAATATTTCTTACATATTTTCCTCAGCTGTTCTGTGTCCAGGGGCACTTCCAAAAGTTCACAGAAAGTGGAATTTAAAAAACAGGTTTATTTTGGTGCCCAAAATGTTTTCATATCTATGCACATCAGCAGGCTCTTTAAAAAGTCCATGGAAAATATTATCTTGTCAAAACTATGCATGGATTTCAAATAAACTTTTTAGCTGTAAGGTCTCTTTCCCAAACCTTTAAATTATGTGTGGATACCTGTGTATAGCCTGCAGTAGTGAAGGGGACCAGGCCAAAACCAGTAGCCAAGAATTCACGAGGACTCCCATGTGGGTGGCAGGAATCCAAAGACTTGGGCTATGACCTGTTGTCTCCCCAGCATATTAACAGCAAGCTGGATCAGAAACATTGAGAAAATGGGACTCAAACCAAGCCCTGTGACATGGGATGTTGGCATCCTAAGTGGCAAATATTGATGAAGTTTAGGGATTTTGTCAACAGTGTTATTAATCTTGCATTTCATGGAAATTGAAGATAGAGAGAAAATGCTTTTAAAAATTTCAACTTATTTGAACTAGTTGTTTGCTTTAGAAGATTGATGGATTGCTTTGACATGATTTTGTGTTGATTATGCTTATGTTTCAATCATCTTTGTAATGCTTCAAAATCATTGCTTTAAGTCTTTGTGTGGGAACCCGTATTGGAACATAGCAGGGAAAGCTGCCACGTGTGCTGCCAGTGTCCTCTGGGAGTGCTGGTTCATGTCCTGGCCACTCCGTTTCTGATCTGGTTTCGTGCTAATGCTCTTGTGAGAAAGCATTGGATGATGGCTCAAGTCTCTGCATCCATGAGGGACACCCAGATGAAGCTCCTGGCTTCTGACTTTGGTCTGACTCCAGTCTGGTCATTGTGGGAACGAAGCAGTGGATGAAAGATCTCTGTCTCTTTATTTTATTGTTTGCACAGCATTTACTTTAATATAGCAATGCTAAATTGGTATAAATATGAGCTTACCCTTTCTTGGTCTCATCTTTGTTTAATATTTCCAGGTGTGTTAATCAAAGGCAGCGCTCACTAGCATTGGGAATACAGTTTATGTTGCTTCGATTATTGGGTATGCTCATTTTTATGAATCCACTGTGTGGTGTCTGGATGGATTAGTGTGCTGGTTTATTAATTTACATTTGTATGCCCAGAATATAAAGCATAGTGGAAGCTTGTTTACTATTCATGGAAGAAAACTGTTTTTCTGGGTGAAGAAGGAGCATTATTATGTGTCACTTAAGAATATGACAACTTTACTAGGCACCTGCTTTGTGTCTGCTGCTTCCGTTCTGTTGCAAATAGAACCTCAAAAGGCATATTTACAGAAATATTAAAAACATTAGCATCAGTTTTTTCTCCCTGCTGTTCTCTCCATTGGTGACACTACCCTATTGCATTGGTAGGAAATTTAATGAGTTAATTTCTGCATACTGTATTTTAGATACTGTGACTAATTAAACATATATGGGTACAAGGATTTATACTATGGGTTTGTATAAGGTTCTAAATGTAGGAATAAGAAGATGATAGAATCCTATTTTTGGGGGGATCGCTTTTTAAAACAAAAGCTTTTAAAAGGACAAAAGCTTACTGTTAGAAAACCCTTCCTTCAACTTTTCCCATTTTTTCAGACGCATAAACTAAGACCCTGGGAGGTACAGGGTTTTGTCCAATGTTCTTCCACAACTGATGGCGGGAATGCGACCAGGAAGTTGATTCTTTTCTCTCAGTCCAGTGTCGTTTTGATTCTGTCGATGACAAGTCATGTGAGAACAGACTGGGAGTGGCCAAAGTCCTTAAGAAATATCGCCTCAAGTCAGTTTTGGATACGTAACAGCTGACGCACCCTGGCTGTGTTTGTCTCTCAGTAGCTGCAGGAGATTGGTTCCAGAACCCTCATACCAGAACCGAGAGCGTCAAATTCTCTTACATAATGGCATAGTGTTTGCTTTTAACATGCATGTAAGGGAGTAATACTTCAGTGTGGATTAGTCCAGAAGTCTGTGTGTACCTGTCTGATGCACTCATGCATACCCAAGCATGTTAGCATGTACACACACATTTACACATGTCACATATGCAGTGGTTGAGTGCATGATTTGGTTCAGCAGACACAGTGGATTTTGATTTTTAAATATGCAATGGCTATTTTCAAAGGTATATTCATTTGTTATATAACAAAAGCAGTGACTTAAAATGTTAGCTATCGTAATTCAGTAATTCAAGTCACTAATTCAATGTATTTCTATGAAATAACATTTTATTTAATTAGAAATATTAAACTAATAGTAATGGTTAATGGATATAATAACTACGTACGGTTTTCTAAAAAAATTTATCTATAATCTTCTATATCCCTGCAACTTATATAGGAATTGAATAACCTGAATGTAGATTCATTAGGGCCTTTTTTTTATTTATAAAATACACATAGAGACATGTACATTAGAAATCTGCAAATATAAGCTGAAATCTTTACTCATGTGTGTTCACCTGTGATTTTTCTAGGCACAATTCCTGGACCAATTATATTTGGTACGACAATAGACAGCACATGTATTCTCTGGGATATTAATGAGTGTGGCATTAAAGGAGCTTGCTGGATCTATGATAACATCAAGATGGCCCACATGCTAGTCGCCATAAGTAAGTGGTAGCTTCTTAGCATTGGCATTACTGCTGTCAACAGCGACAATGGGTAGGAGTTTGTTGTTAGCTCCTTGGCTTGTCGTGTTCCGTCCAAGTTGTTGGACAGTCCTCAAGTCCAGACGCATGCAGAAGTCCTCGTCGTGGGGCTTTGAAGCGAGTTTGCAAGGGTGAGACGTCTACCGAAGAGAGCATAGTGTTTGCTTCCCCTGTACTACATGTTAGACAGTTTTCTGGATAGAGTATCCATACGCCAAAACAGGGTTCTGAGACACCTGCTGGGGTGGCTGTCCCATGGGGGCAAGGCTTCTGCAAGCGCAGCTTGTCCGGGAGTGAGAGGGCCGTGGGCACTCAACCCTGCTGAGAGGCCTTTGCGCAGTGTAGGTGGTCAGCCGTGACATTCAGTGTTTTCCTGCTTTTGTAGTCGGTGCAGTCTTGGTTACATGTAAAATGTAAGCTAAGAATTAGAAAGTGGAATAACACATCTGGTGTGTAAGACAGACTTTCAAAAACTTGGAAAAGCTTCTAAGCAATTAAATCTGAGTATTAAAAACAGATCATTCTGATATCAATCTATCATTTCCATTGTTATTATTCTGGCACAGTTATCAAGATAAGCTTATTACTCTTTCTGTATGAAAGCCCTGACTGAATTGCTGACAGGGTAATAAAATATCCTCTGAGGAAATGAATATATAAACTTTAAGAAGCAATGAAAGAGTAACATGGAGAAGAATAGTCACGATTAATCTCATTACCTTTAGCTGCTTTTAAAAACCATTTTTATTCTCTGTGATTACAGTTAAAATATACTTAATTGCTTTTGTTTGTATTGTCTGGCCATAAGGATGATGCATTGTTCATTTTCCTGCTCTGTGTTGTTGAGTGTGACAAAACATACACACCCTTAAGTCTTCAAAAACAATGCAACAACCAAAAGCAGTGACTAGTTCCCTGTTAGTAACCCTCCTATGAACCCAGCAGTTCCCATCAGTGAGCAACCCTGCTTATCAACTACACATTTTAAAATAACTTTTAAAACATTTTAAAACAAAACCAATCAGTTGCTGAAAAAAATAGACATTTCACATATTCACTGGCTCTTATTATTTAATGCTTAATGTTGAGGTTAGAACTACTTTCTCTTTATTTTGGTGAGCTCAAAATGCAAGCCAGTAAAGCTTGTGAGTTGGAATGGTTCATAGTTTTAGCTTAAAATTAAGAGAAACTGTGTGCATTAAATGTGATGTGTTCCCTAGAACTTGCCTTTTAAGAAACCCAAAAGCCTTTTCGATTCCCGGAATTGTTGTTTGTTGGCAACAGGAAAAATCCTGCAACTTATTCAAGTTCAAGGGCACTGTGAGCTATTTGTCTATCGCTGCCGTATGTCTGTGACTTTCAATAGCCATGTACTGTGCTGAAGCTGGAGGTGGAGCATGGAAAACAAATGCTATTTCATTGAATGGTTTGCACATGATTTTAGAGCATAGACCTATAGTGCCCGATTGGTCTTTGGTATAGAGTGATGAGTTTCTGTTCTTGAAGAACTTCTCTAGTGAGAGCTAACTTGATTTTGTCATAAAGGCCTGATGTACGTTTTCTCTTGAATATGTAGGTGTGACTTGCAAAATCATCACCATGTTCTTCAATGGACTCGCCGTCTTTCTGTACAAGCCACCACCAGCAGGCGCGGATGTGCTGTTTCAGAATCAGAGCACCGTGGTGACCACTGTTGTGGCGGAGCGTGACGGCAAAGCAGAGAATGAAGGGTGACACCACGTGAGAGCCGTGTAAGGCGGGAAAATTGATCTCCCCCGCAGCACTGCCAGCATTATGTACTCAGAGTGGACAGATATACCTACAAATTCATTGACGTGTTTTGTGTGTCTGTGGGAGTCACTTTTGTTTTTAATGCAAGGGATAACCTAGTGCCTTCAAAGCCCACTAAAGACTCGAAACACACACACACACACACACACACACACACACACACACACACACACACACCCCTTCCTTGATTCCCTTGAGTTACCAGTGTATCCCACAATGGTTAACAAAACAGCCAATCATCAGTTACAAGTTACTTAACTGATGCCTTTGTTCAGTTTACAACTTGTTTTAATTTTTGTTGTCAAGAGTTTGGATGTATTTAGAAAATCTATGAGACCAGAATTTTAATCAGGTTTGTGTGATTTCTAAGAATTATTAAAGACCCATGGATTTAAATCCAGTTTTATAATCCATGGGTCTTAAAAAAGAAAAAAGCTCATGGAAATGATTACTATGGATAAAGTGTGCATGGGCTTCCAAATATTTTTGCACCAAAATAAATGTCTTTTAACTTTGGTTTCTATCAACTCTTTGAAGTTCAAACCTTTATTTGTCACTGCAAATTTTTGAACTATTAAATTTATGTTAATTGTCTTTTGTTCTGGTCTATAATGAATAATCAACTTTTCACATACAGCCTTTCACTTTATCTCAAGTATTTCAAGAGGTAATTTATTGATCTTGCTAATTTTTAATATTTAACACCTATTCTATGGTAGTATTATTCAATTATGTATATTCCAGTGAAATCAACAATAAAAAAAAACAGTGCCAATTAGACATGGAAAGATTTCTTTCATGAGCCGTTGTTCTACATTTATATACACTCAGCACTTTAATTTTTTGTGTTAGAAAACTGTTACTTAGTGCATTCTTCATAGTCCCTAAAATAAGATTTTGACTTACTCATGCAGTGTGTGTGTTATGATTTGATGAAAAAATTAAACCCTATTCCTTAATGGAAGCTTCAGATATTTCACAAAGCTGAAAACACTGTTGCGTTCCTCTCTGTTAATTCAGGCCAGAAAAGCAGAGAGGAAGCAAGTCAGTGAATACCAACACAAGTAACTTCTACCCACATTTAGAATTTTCCCAATTTTTGTTAACATTCAGACTCAGAGATGACTGCATTTGGTAAGTGTTGCTTAATGGTGAGATGTCAGGTTGCTCCTGGGCTAGTTTTAAGTGGTACTTTAGATGCAGTGAAACCAGAACACAAACTGAGAGTGAAGATGTGGTGGGTGACCAGCCTTCGAAGTGCTAAAGAGCTGCAGAATTTAAGCAATCACTCAGGGGATGATCCTTGACCGATGAAGGGTCAAGGATCCTAGTTGCACTTGTAAACTGAAATTTGAGGGGATGGGATGAATTGGGAGCTCGTCAAGGTAGCACATTTTTATATTAGAAGATAGAAACAACTTAGAAATGAAAGAGGCTGGCCTGCTTTCGTCACACAGAAGCATCGAACAGCAACAGCATGCAGGGGGTGGGGGGGTGTACAATGAAAGTGGGAAGAAAGGAATTCAACCAAAGGATAGACGGGAATATAGATACATGACACCTGGATTGAGAGCCTCCTCCTCACCCCGCTGGGCACATTTTCAATGCTTCTTCCTCGTGGTGGAAGTGGCTGTTTTTCTGTTCTGGACATGGCAGAAGGGAATTAAATGGAGGAATCTCATGTCTGTTGGTTAATGGCCAATCCAAAGGAATGCACTGATGGAAGGCTTGTCGCCCTTTGTTGCAAGTGAGGACACAGAAGAGCAAAACAGTCCGTACACAGACATGATGCAGTGAACAGGGTACTACAAGGTTGATCTTCATAGTTTCTCAGTTATCAGCAGCTGTCCTGTATGCTCAGCTCTATGATACAGGGTTTTCTGTTTGTTTTTACGAATTTTTAAGTGACAATGGTTTAGGGGAACCACTGGTTTAAGGAAACCAATGATTTCTGCACTCAGGAGCCAGGCTCTGTGGTTTATGATCTGTATATTCTGAAAAAATACCTCTTTTTACAGGGAATATAGACACTACTGTAATTTGTAATCATTGGTTTTACTTCTGGATACATGTTTTTCACAATTTATAATGATCTTAAAACTTGAACTTATTTGTTGATCTAATTGTGATTTTGTATGTAATTCAATGTCATAAACTTTTACTGTTTGTTTATTGCATTGTTGAAAATACACATGTGAAACCAAACATGGGAATGATTGTATATGATTGTTTACTATGTAATGGAAGGGAAACCAGAAAGATCTAAATGTATTTGTTTTCATGCTTTTCTGTTACAAACAAATATGCATACATATTTACATATATTTTATTACATCAGAATGTTTATATTAGGATATTTTAAGTGTTGGACCTTATTAAATGACATAGATTTTGAAATTCAGCTTCTCCCTGTGGATATAAGCATTATCTTGGGATGGCAAAGGGAGGGTACTTCTCTACTTGGTGACTATAATTTCCAAACAAGAACATCTGGCTTTCTGAGAAAATAAATAAATAAAAAACAAAACTTGTAAAAGGAAATCCAGCACTCTTTTGAGAGATTGCTGATACTCCATAGGAATGTAGCTCTTCCTGTCAGACTCCCTCTGCAGCCATGGACCGCGATGCTAGCAGAATGCGTCTCAAAGGAAGAGGGGCATCCAGGACAGCAGAGAATGGGAGTTCCCCCGGGGGAAGTCGCTGCACCTGACCTGTGTTCATGGGTTTCTGCTCTGATGTGCTCGCTGCCAACAGGTCCTGGTAGAGGCAGGCACTCAGCTGTGGGCAGGGGTAGGTCTGTGAAAAGTCAGTTTAACAGGGCATCAACCCGTCTGGCATACTCAGTTTAGGGGCACCATGGAACTTTATCTGCACACTATAAGGGAGCCAATTTGAAAAGCTTGCCATGATGTAGATTACGTTGGTCCAGTATGGGAAACACAGGGAAAGCTGGAAGACAGGCCCTGGGGCGGGGTAAGATGCTGGATTCTCATTCTCTGTTTCTCCACTTTATTCCTTCAGACAAAATATCACAAAAGATGGCAGGTACTGGCAAGGGACTGAGCTCCATTTATTGTGGTGACTCTTCCACAATAGGGCTCTAATTTGAGGGTGAAAGGCAGCAGACCTAACTCTAAAATGGCTGTAAAGCTGTAGAGTGGACCAACACTGACAGCATCCCCCGAGTCCTACCATTTGAGCTGCTATGCTGCTTGCCCATGATTTTAGTTCTTCAGAGGAAATGATTATACGTTTCAGTACATTTCTTCTTCAAGTGATGCAAACATTTGTTCCTTCTTGAAATTTCATTAACCGATGGAGGCACTGAGCAGCTGGCAGTAAGGAGTGCTGGTGTTATGTGCACACCTTTTAACACTAATGATGCCCAGGCCCCATTCAGGGTGAAATTCCCCCAGTGATTCCAAAATGAAGTTGGATTGGAAGCTACTACATGGTCATGAACATATTGCGGATGATGGGGGAGTGACATGGATCGACATATGCTGCCAGTGATGTAACCTTGGCTTCTTAGAGCTAACTTTGATCTTTGAGGGAGAAATGCAGTTGTGAAAGTAGAAGAGGGTCCAGGACGACAGTTCAACTGCCTAGTGTTCTGCAAGCAAGTGCCAGCATCCCAGATGGGTGCCAGTTTTTGTCCTGGCAGCTCTACTTCTAATCCAGCTCTCTGCTTACAGCCTGGAAAAGCAGTGAAGGATGGTCCAGAGACCCATGTGGGAGACCTTTAAGAAGCTCCTGACTCAGCTTCAGACCAGATCAGCTCTGGCTATTGCAGCTATTTGGGGAGTGAGCCAAAAGATGGAAAATCTTTGTCTTCCCTCTCTCTGTAAATCTGCCTTTCCATAAGAATTCATAATTATTTGTAAAAATTAGAAGAGAGGAAAAGAATATGGAGTAATTTTGAGGTTCCTCATGTGTTTGGGACTTTCTGAGAAAATATGAAAATATATCTCCTTTGGGGCAATGCTAAGTGAGTTGGGGAAGACAGCAAGCTAGAAATTTGGAAAGCAACGGAGAGAGGTATACTCTTGTGAATGATGCTGAAGTTTCTGTCTTTCAGCATTTACGACACTGTCACTAGGTGAGTCCTTCCTTCTCCGTTGCTGATGTGTTTGAAGGATAACACAGTGTAGGAGTGCAGGATTTGCAGAGAGCCAGCAGCAATGGGACGGCACTCATGACCCCATGTAAGTGATGGCTGTGTGAAGAATCCTGGTAAGGGACATGGGGTTCATCTGGCATAACTAAGCTGAGGGGTTGAAACGCCCGTAGAAACTCCGACATACATTGTGCGGCTCTAACGGTTTTCTGAAATCTTTATCTATTTGAAAGGCAAATTTAAGAGAGAAAAGCTCTCATCTTGATTCATAGCCCAAATGGCCGTCATGCTCAGGACTGTGCCTGTCTGGAGCCAGGAGTCTGGCCTTGTGGGCAGCCAGGGTTGAAACATTCATCTTTCTCTGCTTTCCCAGGAGCCGTCCCAGCATTCCGCCAGGACTCAAACCTCAGCTCATGCAGCACGCAGATGTCCCAGGCAATGGTTTCATCCGCTGTACCACACCCACGGTCCAGCATCTCTGTTTTTGAGATCTTTCAAGTCATACACAACAGCAGGGTCCTCTTTCAGTTCTACTGCCAGTTGTCAATGAGCCAGAGCCTCGGGGAGGGAAGGGAGAACTAAGTCATACCAACCGTATCAACCACATCAGAATTCTATTTCCTCCTGTTGCCTTCGGCTTCTTGTTCTTGCTTCACTGGATCAAAGCAATCTGCTGTCACTTTGCCTTTTATCCAGACACACATTGTACTGACAGTTACCATGTATTTCACAGTTTCATCGGGAGTCCATCTTTTGTTCAGAAATAGAGGTACCTACTGCACTGTATCGTCAATTCTTGATATACTGGTCCCCATTATACAGCTGCTCTAGATGAACATATGTGCATGCACGGTTATATGCCTGTCGATCTTGTATTTTGCGTGAAGGTTGCCTGATGCCTTTGACAGGTTACTTGGGAATCTGAAAATTATAAGAAGTATGAAGTTGTTGAGCCACACTACCTATGACAACACTTTCAAAAGAATGTTGAACAAAAGTCGGGAAATTCTAGCGAAAGTGGTATAGCTCTCAGTTACTGGCTATCTCTTACCTCTGAAGAAATGTGGTAGATATTCTGCATAGGAGAGATGACCCAAACTCAGGGAAATTACAACTTCAAGTTGTAATACCAGTGTCAGCACTGGTGCTTAAAGTCCTGTGACCCCAAAGCTTGCATTTATCTTTCTGTGTCAAGATGTGTTAAGGCCCAACTTCACAGATCAAAGACTAAGTCCACAACTTTTAATTTTAAGGTTCTTAGGAAAGATTTATTTTTTTAAAAAAAAGGCACAGTGAGAGGTTTTTCTATCTGTTGGTTCAGTCCCCAAATGACCAAAACATACAGAGCTGTGCCAGTTCAACAACAGGAGCCTGGAGCTCCATAGGGGTCTCCTAGAGTTGGGCAGTTGGGACTGAAATATTTGGGCCATCTTCCACTGCTTTTCAAGACCGTTAGTAAGGAGCTAGAGCAAAAGCAGAGCTGGTGTTTATAGCTGGAATGCCCGTATTGCTGGAGGTGGCTTGACCAGCTGTGCATCATGCTGGCCTCAGTCCATAGATTTGAGAATTGGAATTTTACATAATGTTTTTAAAGTTCTGTGTTATTTTATTGAATAATCGAGACAACTTGAGACAATTTAAAAAAAAATGAAATAGTCTCAAGGGGGAAACAACAAAACTTTCTTTCCAGATTTGCAATATCTCTTTTGAGCACCAGGTGGCAGTGTTGTCTCACTAGTTTTGTGAGCCGCTCTGTTTTGGGAACATTGGTGTTCTTGATGCAGGAGTATTTCTGGCCTGCTGTAAAAAATTACATCTGTATCTTCTCATTATCATTGCTTCCATTCTAGTAATTTTGCTGGACTTCTATTTGTAGACTATTGCAAAGATTTCTCATTATAAGAAGAGCAGTTAACAAGAGCTGTTTTTGTAGATGCAGTTTTCCATTTCAGGAATAAAATGGAAGATATTTGTTATTTTGCAGGTTTTACTCACAAATGTTAGATGAGAGTGAATTTTTATATGGTCCTGCTGTTTATGTTAAAGCAATAAAAATTATTTAGTCAAGAACAAAGTACTGGAAAACAATAAATCTCAAAATTTTGTTCAGGTTGCCTTTCCACTGCCAAGGATGCAATCTGGTACTACTAAAATTGTTGTCATTCACTATTGACATTTCCTTCAATACTTATCTGTTTCATGGCAACAAAATAATGTTTAATGTTATTAATTTATTTGAAAGGGAGAGACACACATAAACAGAGAGGCAGCCAGGAGCCAGGGTGAGCATTAGTGGGAAGCCAGGGCACTCTGTATCAGTCCTGGGTGCTCCATCATGGAGCAGGTGTCTGGAATTCCTGAGCTTGCTTGCTTTTGCTTCATTCCCCATGTTGATGCTGATTTTTATCCAGAGGGTATTAGGCTTTTGAAAGGTAACCCACCAAGTCCCCTTATTCTACTCTGAACTTGCCAGACTTTCTTGAGAAAGTACTGACTCCTCTCGGAAGAGTGCGTTGTTCCTCTTTTGTAGAAAGCACTCCCTGTCAGCAGGCTGTGAGTAGGTGTCTCCCTTGAGCTGACAGGCACCCTGTTTGCCAGCAGTGGAATTCAGTGGCTAACCACCCCCGCTCTCTGCTGCTTCCCCTTCTTGCTTTCTGCATTGACCAACAGCAGCGTCCTCTGGACCAGACTTCCTCTTGTTGGTGTTCGCAGCCCATCCGCAGTGCCTACCCTCACAGTAGTATGTCAACTAGCATCAGCTATCACATAAATGGATATTTGCAAGGAAAGGACATCAAACGCATATTCCTTGAACTTGCTTTGTTGAGGGGCTGACACCGTGGTGTGCCGGGCTAACCCTCTGGGTGTCAGTTCTTGTCCCGGCTACTCCACTTCCTATCCAGTTTTCTGCGATGGCCTGGGAAAGCAGCTGAGGATGGCACAAGTTCTTGAGATCCTGCACCCAAGTGGGAGACCCAGAAGAAGCTCCTGGCTCCTGGCTTCAGATCGACTCAGCTCTGACCACTGCAGCCTCTTAGGGGAGTGAACCAGAGGATGGATAATCTCTCTCTGTAAAGTCTGCCTTTCAAATAAAGATAAATAAATCTTTAAAACAAGCTATTTATTGAATCTCTACTGTGTTTTACTATGTCAAAGCGAAATAATAATGAACACTCTATCGACACTAAATGTTCTTGGCCATAATGTAAAGAACTTAATTAAGGAAAAATATCAAGACTGACAAAATGCTCAGTGTATTTTTTTAGCTTAATTTTCATTCTCAAATATTATTCAATACACATATGCCAATTTAGTCACCTGAAATCCGAGTCACTCGCTGACACAAACCAGAGCTGCAGCTGCTGGTTCTCCTGTAACCTTGGTTTCTAGTCCTTTAGTATACGCCGCACAGCCCTGGA